CACTTCCCTTTGGCCGTTTGGAAACTCCCTTCGGCTCCTCTTGGCTGTGCTCCACCTTCTGCGCTTCACGTGCGCTGAAATTTTAAGTGAGTTTTTCTTTGGCGACGTTGCCGCCTTTTGGCTTTTAATGACGTCGAAGACGACGACGTTGACTCTGGGGCATGCTTATGCACATTTCAGAGACGCACACACCCAGAGAGACACTGTGTTACACACACACGAGTGTGTGTGTGTGTGCGAGTATATTTATACAGAAATTTAAATTTTAAAATAACAACCTTCCACAACGCGTCAGAGTCTTCGCCTTCGCCTTCATCTTCTGCTGCTTCTGCTTCTCTGCCTCTCCCTCTCCTTTCGGGTTGTTTCCTTTCGTCAGTTGCTTCATTACCTGTACCTCCGAATGGGGCACAAGGGAGGCATGGAGGGGCACAAGTCAACTGTCGACCAGCCCCTTGGGCAAGCAGGCGGTGGTGGCCAGTGGGTGGGTCATGTCTGGGCGCCGCCTGACTTCTTCTTGTTGTCTCTTTTGCCTGGTAGCAAAATGTCATTTTGTCACGAATCGGATTTTGTCTTTCGCTCTCTGTGTGCCTCTCTGTGTGTCTGTTTCTGTCCCTGATCATTATGTTTATTAAATTGCCACACGCAGGACACACGCAGCTAGGGAAGAGTAAGGCGGAGGAGCATCGTCTCAGACAGATTTTCAATTTTCACGTAAAAAAAGAAAACAAATTGTACAATTGTTCTTCTTTTTTTTTCTACACATTCCTGAATGTAAATCCACTCTTAATAACTCACTCTCCGTCTCTCTGTCAAAGTCCCTTCGTGTTCTACAAATAATTCCAGGCCCCTTTTTCCAGTCACAATTTGCATATTTCTGTGCGGGTGGTTGCTGCTTGCTGGCTACACGTGCATGGCCTCAGGTGCCACACACAAGCACACTGGTTGCATGAACGGATAGGCCTGGTTATGGCCAGGCCGACAAGTCAATTAGTCTCGCAAATGCCCCTGCAAGACATGCCCTGCCCTCCACCCCTGCTGATGCAATATTATTTACTGTAAAAATATATACAAATGTAGTGCTTTGGGGTTCCTAAAACACTTCGGCAGAACTTTCGTTGAATAAAAGGGCAGCCTTAACAGTCGTTAAACAGCACCAAGAATGTCCTACTTAGATGGAAAAGATTAACACAGAACTTATTACAGGACAGAGGCAGAGGTCTTGTAATCGAATTTAAGGTTTCCGAACCCAAAAAGAACTGAGATCTACTCAATGAGAATTCTCTGCAATGCTTTGCACAGCCTTTAGTTCTTAAAATTCAACTTATTCCCATTTATTTATTCTCCATTGATTGCCAGGTAGCTGCCTGTCATAGAATTCTACATTATTTATTAATAAATCCACAAGATGATGACATCCGTGTGCGCCCAAATGACTCATAAAACTAATTTCTCCCAAATATTTCACAAGTAATTAAAATCTCTGACAGAGAATACCTCAGGGAGAACATACTTTTCAATCATCTATCCATCCACCTGTCGTGTCATTTCGGGTGTCGGTTTCACAATCTGCCGTCCAGAGGGCCCCAAAAGTCAATAAAGTTTTTTACAGTCAACAAAAAAAATGTATATTATTTTTATTTTCAGCTTTTATCTGTCCCACGAGCCTAAGAGAGAGGAGGGGCAGTGGTTCTTCATAATTTGCATGTGTCTTGTATTTTTACAACTCAAAGGAAGCACAGAGATCCATCTACAGCTCATTCTAATGTTCCAGAACTCCTCCTCCTTCTGCCACTAAAAAAAAGCAAATAAAAATCGTAGCAAATTTTGACAATATCTTTCGCTGTCTATCTGTCGCCTCTGCCTTTGTTTGTGTCTCATTTTGCTTTAGATATTTATGTGGCGCTGATTTTCACACACACACACACACACCCCGCCCATCACCCAATTCCACTTTTCCTTTTGTCCTCAAACAGATGTGTGTGTGTGTGTGTGTCTATGTTAATTTTTATTTATCTTATTTATGTATTGTAGACACAGATACATATTTATGTATTTATGTACATACATATGTTTGTGCTCCGGCGAATCCCAAAAGATATTTTCATATTTTCCGCGAAGATTTTCCCTCCGTTTTTTATGTTGACATTTCCCCTGCGTGTGTGCGGAGAGGCGCAGGCCTCTGACTGTTGTTTTGACAATGAAAATACTTGTTTATGGTCCACAGAAAGGGGACACAGAAGTGGTTGTACAACGTGCAGAAGGGAGAGGTCCCCTCCAAAGAAAAAAACAAAAAAATGTGAAATTTCGTAATATCTATATAGGACAAGTTTGATTTCAGTGTATTTTGCTGCGATCCGACTGGTTGTATCCTTCTCAACATGTGTACCTCCGATGCGGTCAGCAGTTCAATCTCAATCAAAATCATTCAGTTATTTCCATCCTTAAGATGGTTGGTGATGTGCGGTGTGGTTGGTGGGCCTCTTTATTTTCTCACGCGAGTGTTTTGGGGGTTAACCGCATGCTGGCCAGGCAGCCACGAACTGCAACCCAATCAGGCGGTCACTATGTATAGTAAGGTACTCTATATAGTACCTCCGACTAAACCGCAAATTTCAATTAGCATTAGGAGGAGAGAGAGACGGAGAGACGGGAGAATTCAGCTCTGGTCTGATGTGCGATTTTTGTGACATATTAATTGAAGTGTCAATATTTGCATAAATCAATAAAACGAGAAGGGGAGACAAAAGCCATGGATGACCACCGGACAGGCACAAACCCCTGTGTGGCACTCCTCCCTTCTAAGTTTGTCTTTTTTTTAAACAGCAATTTGCGCTTTCATTCAATTAACACTCGAAAAAGTGATGCCAGTTGGTTCGGATCCGTTCTGTTCCGTTTCTAAACGGACGCTAATTATAGCCCCCACCACACACTCATCAGCAGAGGGGTAGGGTTGGGGGTAGTGGTGCAGGTAGGGACAAATTAAATGTTTCGTTTCATTCGTATAATTAAGTTAAAGTTGTTGAACAAATGTATCAGGCAGCGGCAACGGTAGCTCCCCCCCGTGCCGCTCTTTCCCCATTCGAGACAAAAGTTGCATGTCAGCATGGGAGAGGGACTGGTGGACAGGGACGGGTTGAGGTGACCTAGGTCCACCCACTGTCTGGAAACCTGTCGCGTGGCATTCGTATTTATTCTTCAATGGAAATAATAATTATCAATTTAGTTACAAAAAAAGATAGGCACAGGGAATGGGACAAACAGGAAGGTTCGAAAAGGATGAAAAGGGGTCGCACATGTACATGTCCTTTCCAAAGCATTGACATTTCCCATTGGCTTTTGTGTCCTTTTTCCGCTCAAGTGGGAAAGTGGGGAAACGGTTTGGAAAAAATCGAGGCATAAAAATCGACCATCGCCAGGAATTCTATAGAGGAAAATCGCATCACAGCACGTGTCCGAACAGGTCCTACAACCCCACACCCTCTTTTTCTCCTTTGATGCTGTAGAAATTGTCGCAGGATACACTATCCCCTGCCCCCCTTATACTGTTTCCCCGCCTCTGGCCGCTTTTCACACTTTTCACACGTAATAAACGAAGCCGTAAAGCGTTGTTGGACGATGACTTGGTCCTCTCCTTCGGCAACTCCTCCGTCTCCGTCTCCTTCTCCTTTTCCTGCCCAAGGCCAAAAAAGTATCAAAGTTTCCTTCTCGATTTTTATGCCTCTCTCTCCGCACCATTTTCCCACCTCTCTTCGCTCCTCCTCGCTCTTTCTGCTGGTAGTACGCACGATTTGTAGTCGTTCGTGCTGCGCCAAAAGTTCTTCTCTCCTTCGTCTATATTTTCCGTTTGCCATGAAATATAAATAACATTTTCCAAAGTTGAAAAATTTATGAAACCCTCCCCGGCCCCTTTGCAGCGGGCACATCGATTTTCATGGCCAAAAACTAGCAGAAACTTCATCTGGGGGCATTTTCACACTTTATTAAAGTCGAAAGTCTCCTAAAGGGAGTCGCAAAGTTTACACAAAGAGCGAAGGAGAGCGGCGCTCCGATCCAGATTTAGATTCTCAGGTTCATGCCACATGCCCCATAATGACTATGGATGGACGGAGCAGTGGAACTACCCCATTAGATCTGGAATTTGGTTTATCTTGTGACGATCTATGTGGGAGGGAGGAGTGAGAGGTAGGAGGATACTCGTTAAAAGTTCCTCCAAGGACGTTTCGTAAATTCCCGCTTTCCCTAAGAAACTTCTGTTTCTCTGGCAATTTCTATTCTCTTGCCACACACCCCCACACCCCCAACCCCACCACCGCCTTCGAGGATTCGAGGAAAATGCAATTGTTTTCCTCGCTGCGTTTCCCTGTGTTTTTCGAGGGTTTCCTTTTTTTTTTATCCTACTTTGTTGCCACAAAATGAAATTGGGGAATTTACTTTAATTTGTTTTTCGTGCCGCCGCAGCAGTTGTGGCATTGCCCTACTCCCTCCAATTCCCCCCCTTTCCCACTCATCTGGCTCTTTTTACTTTTTAAAATCAATTTCATCTACTTTTGGTATTCCTTCGTTCTTCCTTCCATCCACCCTCCTACTCCTGCTTTTTGCTGCCTGAATCCTTTTTGATTTCCTTCTTTTTGTTTCCTCGTGATTGTTCTTTAGTTTTTGGGGCAAATTCAATTTGTGGCATGGAAGAAGGGAGTGGCTTTCCGTAAGAGTTCTTCGCATGATTCAATTGCAATTTTATTTCCGTTTTTTTACGTTTTCTTTGTTGCATTACAAGGGAAAACTCTATTAAATTTCCCCATTGAAATCCGCCAGTTTACAGCACTTTTTGAGGTGCCAAAACATGACCAAAGTCCTGCCACATCTGCACCACTGCCGCTGCCGCTGCCGCTGCTCCCCAACGGAAGTGGCCTCCAACCGTGCGATGTCTAGCTGTCATTCCCTGTCCCTCCGTCCCCACCCCTTGGAGCAAGTGCGTGCTTTGTTAGCACACAAAAACAGACGGCTCTCCAGGTGCCAGCCTCCGTCTCCTGCTGCTGCTCCACCTGGGACAGGGACAAGGACAAGGACCAGTCCACGACCAAGTGTTTGGAATTTCATTAATATTTTATTACGCTTTTTTCTCTTCATCTCAGAGCCTTGGTGGAGATGGGGCCAGTGGAGGGGCCTCTGCGTTGTTGAATTTATTAAAAGGCGAGGAGGCAACAAAAACTTCTCGCAGGCAGCTAAAAAAGAGGAGTACGAAATCTCTCAGTAAAGTTCCTGCCGCCACAGAAATTCCCGCAGAACATGCGGCATCTTGTGCTGTGTGTCCCATGTGTGTGTGTGATCCATTGCGTCCTTTTCCGGCCAAGCAGGAAACTTATTGATGGCACAAACGGAAAATGAAATGAAAACAATCAAATGACAACTGCCAGTCGGACGAAAGAAAAGAAAATAAAAGCTTCTTCCAGCTGCCGGGAAAAACTTTTATCCCCAAGTGCATGAAAATAGTTTGGGAAAACTTTTCAGCAAAAGAAAAGCGCAAGAGTCTAAAAAAGAGTTAAAGTAAATCATTCCAGAAGGGTGTGGGGTGGGGGAATCCTTTCCAGCTGTGGGAGAAAATCTTTTGTCAGTCTTTGTTCTGGTTTTTGCACCTGCAAAAAGGATGCCATTGTCCCTGATTCTCAGCCTTGATTCGCCTTGAGGCTGGCTGCCTCTGTTGCTGCCACAATTAAATGGGTAACACACACGTACGGAATTTGAGGTGTGGGACGTGGGGGAGGACATTCTCCCTTTCATTATCCCGCATTCAGCCATCCCCTAATGACAGACTTACCACCCAAACGAAGAGCGTGAAAATCGAATAATTTACTCACCTGAAACGAGAGTGAAAAAAGAGGGAAGGCAATTTATTAGCATGTAACGCTACAATGGCTTTCCCCCCACCTACGTTGGAAAAATCAAATAAGAAATTCCAAAATGTTTTCAGTGTTTTCCACGAAATTAAAGAAAAATGTACGCTAACACAATTAATCTTCGAAGATGTTGCACGAAGGTGAGGAAACCCTCCTTAGAACGGATAAAAGAATTCCAAGGAAAATGCACAAGAGATGCTTAAACAGCGAGAAAGAGAGAAAAGAGAGAGAGAGAGAGGCAGACAGGCACTGGTAGTGGTTGTGAAAATGCGGCACGTAGCAAACGCTAATCAAATAAAAACCTTCAACATTTACACATTGATAGCGGCCAGTGCGACAGAGACAGGGAGAATGATGAGATGAAACCTGTTTTGCCACATTTCGGGGCCACTAATATTATTTTAAGACTCTCTCTCTATCTCTCGGTCTGTCTGCTCTCCTTCAAGTGGTGAGGCACCCGCATGGACATGCAGACAAGGCCCGGGCCTGCGGCCTTTCATTAGAGGCCTTGCAACGCATCGAGGGTGGGCGACGAGCCGTAGGTCATTCGATATGCGAGTAGCAATATGTAAGCCTACAGAAAAACAAGAAGGACCAGTGGACGCGCTCGTCTCGTCTTGTCCTGTAACCTGACGCGTCCTGCGACCATTGTAAGCTGATATCCTGTTGAAATGTGCTAAAAATGTGCCTGCTGCTGCGGTCGTTTTCCTGCGCCTCTCGCCTGTAGCTGTGTAGCTACGTATCTGCGTACCAGACTACCCCAAAAGATACTTTTAGTGTTTGTTTAGCTGATTTTCATGTTTTCCTTGCAATGAAAATTGTCACCACACAACACACAACTATCGTAAAATTTCCATTAGGCGGCTAGAGTACTTCCAAAAGTAGCAGGAGGACAGCGCTACAGCAGCGATTATATACTCATTTCCCATCACATAAACACACGAGTAGGATGGATGGATGTAGGGCCCATTGTCTTATCCAGCACTAGATCTGGGATCCATTTCCCACATCCACTTCCTTCCTCTGGAACACTATTTTTCGCATCGAAACTACTTCAAGTGTCGTCGAGCCATAAAAGGAGGGAGAGAGATCTAGGGATAGGATCTCCCTCCATCTCCATCTCTCTATCTCTTGGTCTATCTCCCTCCTACAGCTGCAAGATGTATCTTTCGTATGTTTGTATCTCATTCGCTGCCTATTTGTTTTGGTCTCCAATGTATCTTAAATTTTATTTTATTGTTTTGCTTTTGCCTCTTCCTCTGTCCGCTTCTTTCTCAGCCTCTTCTTGCGCCGTTCACTCGCGTCGCGCTGCGGCATAAAATAAAAATCATTTTCCGAGATTTACTTCTCTCGCTCTCTCTCTCTCTCTCTCTCTCTCTCTCTCTGTCTGTGTGTGCATCTCCTTCTACTTCTTTGATAAGCCCCCGAGTTGTTTTGCTATTTTTATCGCCTTGCTTTTCTTCTAATGATGAAAAGGCAAAGACTTTACTTTGCCTTGTCGTCCTTTGCCAAATATTTTATTAGTGTTTTTGCCTTTTTAGTGGTCCGACAGATGTCTCCAGTCCTTCCCCAGTCCACCGTTGCGTATCTGCGTATCTCTTATCTCTGCCACTGGCAGCCTAATTTCTGTCCCGTAAGCCGCTTTAAGGTGCCAGATCCTAGAGCATTAAAACTTGGTCTGTCTGTCATTTGTTTTCTTGGTTTATAGCAGGGACAAATGTCCGTTCTTAAGAGTATGCTGGGCCTGTTTCCCGAAAGAACATTCATAGAATCAAAAGCTGTAAAAATTGCGAAAAGAAAACGTATTCACTCGTTATGGGTGCCGCTTACTGAGATCATTTGAAAGAAATTCTTTTACAGGGCGTTTAGCGATGAAATTATTGGACTTTAGTACTTTATATACTGTACATATGTACGTATAATATTTATACATTAAAACTGTATTTTTTTGTGCGAGAAATATTTGTGGACCCAACTGGGTCCATTTAATCTAAAAAATATGAATGGAATTCTTACGAATGCGCTCGGTGGATTGATCTGCTGTGAGCATGTGCTGTATCTGTGATATAAGTACATACAAATGTACGTACATATCGGTCAAAAGTTTCCTATTCTGCGGTATGCCATTGAGCATTTCCGTTTCGCCGATAAATGGAAATCTTTCAGAGCTCCAGTCTGAGTCGAGTTCCATTCAAAGTGGCATACATAATGTGGCTCCAGCGTTCCTTCGGGTTGATATTTATAGCGTTCTCAGTTGATATTTTATTAGCGATAGCGACAGCTGTCGGGGATTGGGATTGGGCAACCATTCGAGTGGAGTGGAGTGGAGAGAAGTGGGAGTGGCCCAGAGGCGATGACAGACATGAAGGGGGCAAGTGCAAGCTTCTTTCTATCTCTCTGGCACTACAGTTATCATTGCCTCATTCTCTCACTGTCTCGAGTCCCGAGTTCAGTGTAAACCCCCACTTAAACCGGTGGAGGTTGGGATATCCACGAAATTTGTCATTACGCTTAGTTTTTACAGCTTCTGGCGAACCCAGAAGCATAATTTTTATGGTCCATGGAAGACTGAGCCCTTCTCTCTTAACCCTTTTCCACTCTCCATCTCCCTCGATGCAATTAAGCAGTAGAAAACAAAAAGCAACAGAAAAAAATATGTTAAGTGCTGGCTCGTAAATATCAGGGGTGTGGGTGAAGACTGAAATTTGCATTCAGTTGTGAAACATTCTATAAAAATAATACATTTAATGTTCGACAATAAAAAATGGGAAGAGAGAGAGAGAGAGCAAAGTAAGTACAGCATAGCACAGCACAGCAAGGAGCGCAGCATTCGCATATTTTTTATGACTTTGCGTGAATATTTCTTGCAGGACTTCTCCTGTCACTCTCTATGTTTTTGTGGCTCCTTTCCACATCAGCAATTGTGCAGCAATTACAGTAAACAACAATCATCAAGTCGGTCTGAGGGGACGTGCCATATGAGTGCCATCACTCCGCTCCGTCGAGACAATGTGGGGGATTTCAACAACATTTTAATGCTCCCAAAAAACAGTCATAAAGCAGGGGGCACACATATTTCCAGAGACTTTCTGGCTACATTGTGTCCCCCATTCAAAAGGCAGCAGGACTCGTGAGTCACGCTCCGAGAAAGGGTATACAGATAGACAGAGAGAACATTCTTTCTGTAAGCGGATGGTAAATCGAATTATAATATGAACGAGTGCCCCTAAGAGCAGGCAGGCAGGCAGCTAAATGAGGCATGCCACACAAAACGAAACGAAACGAGTATTCGGTTGTTTTTCCCTAATCCCAAAAATGACAAAACGACAGGCAGGCAGCAGCTGATGCAAAGCTGTGGCTGCGGCACGTATGCAGTGAAAGAGAGAGAGAGAGAGAGACGCACACACAGCCTGTTGAAGGTGCCTCCTCCACGCAGCAGGTATTCTCCTCGACATCTACAGAAAAAGGTCAGGTCACCTAACAAATTTTCAAGTCTTAACCTATCTTGCCTTTCCCTCTCTGTCTCTCTCTGATATCTGGACAGCCATCTCTTTCGCACATTTGCTCATTTGCGGTGCGCTGCGGCATCATTATCGCCGCTCTGCCCCATCCCCATCATCACCCTCTCCGCTACCTGGAGTGTCTCTTTTGTGTCCTGCCTCTCTTCCCTTTTCACTGTACTTTCGCAAAAATAAAGAAGAACAGGAGAGAGAAAGAGAGAGAGAGAGAGAGAGAGAGAGAGAACACTGTTTGTCGGCCTCTTGCCGTTTACGTGTAATTTTCCCAGCATTCCTCTGGCCTCTCCCTATTTCCCTCCTCTATTCTCCAGTATTCTCTCTCTGCTCTCGACATTTTGAATTTCCCGTTGCTGTCAATTTTTTCTTTTTCCACCTTTTTCCTACTCCTTTTTCCCTCTTTTTCCTCTGCGACTTTTCGCCTCTGTTGTTGGGCTACAAATCGCTTTGATTTGCATAATTCTGCGCACATTTCCACGCATAGTTTTTCCCTGTTTTCCCTTTGCCGTTGTTGTGTCGCAGGGTGTTTGCATATTTTTTGACAGCTGTCAGGAAGTAATAAGTTGGCATTCCGCTCGGCGCCTAGTCCTCTGCATGCCCTGGCATTGACAGTTTTCCGAAATCCCGGCAGACACTTAACAAATGTCCTGCCCCCGCACCCAATGTCCTGCCATCCAAATCGGAATCGGAATTGTAAAGTTCCCCGTTTCGATTGGCACACAACAGCAGCAGGACCTGCGGATACGACTATGACAGCTGGGGCTTTGTGGTGTCATTATGGAAGGTCCTAGCGCCGTCCCCGGGAATGGCCCTTTCTAAGGTTGATTTTGCGAGGATTAGTCGATGAGCGGCTTAGCCAGGGGGAAGCCGCTTGCTTTCCAGCCCGAAAATGGGATCAGTGATATTGATGGCATGCTTAGTCAGCGACTAGGCCAGCGACTGTTTGCTGCTATCTGGAGTGTCTTAGGCAGTTGAGAATCAGTTCTGTGGAATGCTAGTTTCAGATGCTTATCCCAAACTACGATGAAAATCACAACCAGAGTGAGTATTCCAAGGCTTACATGCGAGTATCTGACTCAACAAATGTGTTTTGTCCATGACGCACAGGAAGCCCTATACACACTCACATCCCATTCCATCCACTTCTTCAATAATAAGTATTGCCCCCTGCTACAACGAGAACCATTCCCCCTGGCCAAAAATAGCCTTAGAGTAGCTCTCTCTCTCTCTCTCTCTCTCTCTGTCTATTTGGAGATCTCTATGGAACTTGGAGAACAAGTGGGAGCACACACCGCAAGCACAAACTTGTTGAAACATGCCCATGCAAAGAGGCTTTTGGGATCGCCTTGGATCGCCAAGCTGATCGGCCGCACCCGCTGGCCATAATTATATCGCCAGCAAAACAAAACAATTCGGAATGGAATGGATTTGTTTATGGGAAACAGCAGTGGCAGCAACAATAGCACTCCACACAGAAGCAACTGTTAGGATGCATAAAATAATTGGATGGAAGGGGATTTCGGATATTTTGATTTTTCGTTTTTTTCTTTTTTGCAAAATTGTGGCCAAGACAAAAATAAACAAAGTGGCCTCATTAGCTGTCAGAGAGAGAAAGAGCGGCGCAGGGGCACCCATAAACTATATAAATAATTTTTCCCGTTCTGTGGTGGTTCTGTGTGCTGGAAAACGCAGTGTGAGAAAATCGAATACCAATGATTCCTGGCGATAATTCAATACACCCAACAGCACCCAATTCCAATCCAAAATCGGGGGGCCTGACCTTGTCGCTGGCTTCCATTTTCGAAATTAGTTGCGTGTTCCGCGCTCTTTCCATTTCGCTTATTTTGTTGTGCCTTTTGGGTTTGATTTTGATTGGGTTTTTTGGTTTGTTCGGTTTTGGAGGCCATCTGGAGGAGTAGCTGCTGCTGCTGATACCGTTGGACCTGGCTTTGGTTTTCCGTTTAATAATACAAAGTGGCCCAGAGCCCGCTACGGAATCAGGGGGAGGACTGGGTGTTTCTTGATGGCTAATTTGGCTAATTGGCGGGCGGGCGCAGCGGCGCTGACAAATCAAAAATTGAGACATTGAAATTTTATTTTTCTCGCATTTCTCTCTAACTTTTGCCAAACAAATGTTCACACATCAACACACTGTCAGACAGAGAGAGAGAGAGAGAGAGAGAGAGAGAGAGAGACAGAGAGGGAGTAGGAAAATTCCTTTCATTTTTTCTCTTTTCTGGTTCTGGCTTTTTGGCAATTTTATGACACAGGCGGGGGGAAGAGAGCGGCCCTGGAGCAGGAGCTAAAGCTGAATGCCTGGTGAAGTGTTGAAAATTTACGAGCTTCTCCCTCTGTTTCCCAGCCCCCTTCCGCTTACCCCTAGCAACACCACCCCTCTGCACCCCTTGATTGAATTTTATTTCTTGCGCCAAAAACCGAGAAAAAAAGAAAACACAAGAAATTTTCTCAAGTCTTTTCGGGTCTCAGGAATTTATTGTTTGCCAGTTACGAAATTTATTTGTTGTTGTAAATTTACAATACCCCTTGCTCACTCACTCCCTCTTTCTTTCTCTGTTTTTACCAGGTAGCACACATTTTTCTCTCATATTCTTCTTGTTCTTTTCTCGTTCGATTTGCCTTCGAATTTTTTATTTCCTTTCAAAGCTTTTCCAATTGTTTTGGCAATTGTTTTTATAACACCACAGAAACGATGAAAAGATGGAAAGAGAAAGAGAAAGAGAGATGGGATGGGATGGGGGACGAAGTGGAGGAATGCAGGATGATGAGGATGAAGAAGAAGGAGAGGAGGAGCCCAGCAGCGTAAAAGAGGAAATGCCAGAAATAAAGTTATGTAAATTCCGTTTTACGGGGCATGTGTATGTGCGTGTGTGAGCGTGTCTGTTCCTGTTCGTAAGTTCAAATGCCAAGAAAAAGCAGAAACCAAAAGGCAGAGCAAGAGTCGGAAATAATAAAACTGAGACATGTCGAAGCGTGTCTTTATTTGTGGCTATAGAAGGGGAAAATAAAAGAAAAGAGCTGTGCGCGGAGAGGAGAAGACAAGAGCAGGAATGATATTAAGAAGAGAGCTCATATTTGAGCTTTATCGAGCGTCCCAGGTGCTAATCAGCGAGCCAGAGAGAGAGAGAGAGAAGCTAAACAATAAGAAAGATATCCTCATAGTTGACAACGATCGAAAAATCTCCCAAGAAAAAAAAGAGTTTTTATATGAGTTGGTGGAATAAATAAGCAGTTGTATTTTCCCATCGCATTAATTTTACATTTCTCTTGCCTCATGTACACAAAATATACCCAATTCAAGAGTACAAAGTAGGGTTCCAAATGAATATCAGTGCAAATGCGCTTTATGCCCCGCTTTTGTTCGCCCGCTTTATTAATCAGACAAATCACGAAAGAACGAACGCACTCAGTCGGAAAAAGGCAAATTATGAAATACGAAACAGTCGGGCTGCTCTCAATGTTAGACCCGTTCCCACTCACACCCCCATTTGACACTCTCGCTGCCGGGACGCCGCCTTAATTTGTTTAATTTATGCAAAATGTTTGGCCGCATTCAGCGATAAGCGCCATAATTTGCTCAAACTTGTCGCAACTTGTTCTCTTTTCATCTCTTTCTTTTTGGGCGGCTCGAGAGCCGCCGAGCCGCAGATTAACGGGGACTGATAACTAGGGAATTTACTTTACTTTACTCTGTTTTACAACTCCCTCTTTATTTTCTCTTATCGCACATTGAGAACAGGAAGCCACCTTAAACGGGTGGAGAGAAAACTCATGGCATTATCCAGAAACCAACTTTACTCGAAACACCAAAGAAATCAAGCTCAAGAAACTTATTTTGTCACATGATTTCATTTCTCTTATTTTTCCGTAGGAATTTACCAAGCTCATCCACAGAAATATACACACGGAATGAAGCCAAAAACGAAAACTGTTACTCTGGCTTTAGCTGTCTTGGTTCCTATTCACTTTTCTTTCCAACGCACTGAATCACAATAAATGCAACCGAGTTGTATCCTCCCGTTGCGGGGTGCACTGCTTCAACCTTCCACTCACCTTGTCTTCCGTGTGTTCGTTGCGCCGTCAGGGTCGCCGTTGCGTCCGGCGGACGGTGCGGCAAGTGCTGGTACTCGTAGTCGTAGTGGGACGACTGTGCGGCTGCTGCAGCGGCAGCGGCTGCCTGCAGATTCTGTTGGTTTTGGTGCTGGAGCGTCTGGCTGCTGCCGGCCACCGATGAGGCGGAGGCAGTGCCTCCGGCCGTGTGGCGACCCGTCATGGGCAGCGTGCCTGGTCCCCGGCCGCCGCCCGCGTCGCGGCAGTCGAGCGTCGACTCATACTCGTAGGGATTCATGGTGGTCGACTCCAAGGGACATTCGTCGTCGTCGGTGTCGGTGCCACCGTCGTAGAGGTTGTCCGTGTGCCGGTATGCGTGGTGTGGATGCTGCTTGGAGAACTTAATCTTGGCGGCTTTTGCGGGCCCGGACGGCCGGATAGCCGGACAGCGGGGCGGAGTAGAAGAGAAGCAGAGAGGACAGAGACAGACTCCTGAAGCAAAGGCGCTTCGCTGTCGTTGAAGGTGCGGAGGGGTGCGAAAAGAGAAGAAAGATTCTCCTAGAGTCCCTAGAGTCGCTTCTGCGTTTTCCTCCTTTCTTTCCTATTTTTTTATTTTCTATCTGTTATTTTTCAATCACTTTCTTCGCACTGCACTGCACAACATTTCTTTCTCCATTTCGTTTTGGGATATTCTTTGGTTTTGCGCGGGGGCCCCTGGTCCAGGGCCTGCCACGACTTTCAACAATTTATCACTCGGAAATAATTCCCCGATTTTGGCCAATTTTCATCTAAAAACACACACGGGACGAGACGAAACGCGGTTCACAGCAACACGAAACAACAGACACCCAAGACGATGCAAAAACAGATTCAAATCTGTGTAATTCGTTTGTTTTCTTGGCCGCTGCGAAAAATACGATGTAAGCGGACGACGAATGAGCGCGCGCAACGAAGTTTCAAGTTTTACTGATTAAACATGGTCTTCATTCGTATTTCATTCGATTCGAGAAGTTCTTCCCGCGCAGGTTTTCAAATTTTTGCCTTTTCTACCCCTTCGGGATATTTATTTTTGGGGAAATTCTCTCCTGTGCCCAAACGGTCAGAGTAATTCTCTCCTTTGTCTAAACGGTCAGGGTAATTCTCTCCTGTATCTAAACGGTCAGGGTAATTCTCTCCACATGAAAATGGCATTTTTCTCACATCGTGGCGCAGAAATGAGCACCAGGTACTCTTTTCTCTCCCGGGGAATTTCTCTCCTGTTGTCGAACGGCCGGGGAAATTGTCGTTGAACGAGAGAGCGAAACGAAACGAGCCGAGAGAGCAAGAGAGACCTCGTCTTTCGTTCAGTGTCGTTCAGTTGAGAACAGGCATGGAAAGAAAAGAGCGCAAAACTCGTTTTCGGCGTGGGTGGCTGGGGATGCTGTGTTTTCGTTTGGCTGCTTCGGCTGCGCTGCTGCCGCGCTGCCCAACGTTATTTGTGCGCATGTCCGTCTCGGTCGTCGCTGGCAGAACTGTAGAGCGTGAGCGGGGAACTGAACGAAGAGCTAGCGACAGCGCTGCTGCGTTTTGAAGGTTAAAAAGTGCGTTCAATTCGTTGTGCAGCAACAGCAGGGAAACTAATGTAAGCGGCGGGGGGGAACTTTCTGCAACCCGTGTTACGCGCTCTGCAAACGAGTTTCGTTCAAATTTATCTACGACCAACAGTGCTGTAATAACAGTGCAGCGGATTACAGCCAATGCCTGAGGCCATTAACATTGACACTGTTAATGTGGGATTCTGCCGTAGCAGA